TGTTCGCCGTCTGCGTTAACCACCGAACATTAGCGCCGAACATTTATCGACGAAAGATCAATCAGCGATCGAAGCCAGACCACATGACACTCAAAATCGCGACGTCCAGTGAATCCACCAACACAAAATTTTGGACTGTGGAGAAGAAGCAGATTTTAGTAGATATGTGGTCGCAATCTGCCTGTTTGTTTATGATTTCTTCGCCTGACTATTCAGATAGAAACAAGAAGTCACTGCGATACAAGAAATAACACAAGCCCTGGAAACAACCGGTAAATTTACAAGGTTGCCGAACACACCCTGCTCTTAACGAAGTTGAATCCGGGTACAGACCCAAATGCTCCTATTTCGCCGTCTACGTTGGCGTCTTTTTTAAAATTAATAATATAGCAAACGCAATTTTACATTTTGAGGTCATGCAACGTAAACTTCCGGTTTGAAATTTGAAGAGCTTTGTCACGTGACCTAATTAACACGACAAAATTTCTTATATATTCTTAAAGTGAATAAGCTCTCCTATCTGGTGATACATCACACTTGATATTTTAATCAAAATTGCGCTTTTTAAAATTCAAAAATTGTGTACTGACTTCTATAGTAACTGTACGTAAATTCTGTCTACCGACAGGCACCATTGACTAAAAAAACTTTTAACTGCTAATAATATCTCATTATCTACTTGAGTGTAAATACTAGAAATTTTGAACACTATTCAACATTGGAGACAAAACAAAATTTTTTAAGTCGTCATGGCAAATCCGGGTTACTTTTACCTTTAACTCGCAAAGTTTGCATTTGTCAACATCGACATTTTGCATAAAAATAAACCACTACTTATGACAATCAATGTTAAAGTTTTCTTTTGTTGGGGCGTTTTACTTCAAAAAAGGGAATAGGTTTTACAATATATGAACTTTTGATATTTTGACCATTGACATGCGTGACCTCGATCTTTGCAATGTCTATGATGTCTATTCATACTTTGATCTTTGATGTCCGACATATATTTCGGATTTTTACAGACGTTCCAAAACAGCAATTTTCAACACTTTTGTACTTTACAGCTATTTGAAAATTCGACATTACACCGTTTAGTACCGAACGGTATCAAATTCATTCAATGTTAAACGGTTTAAACGATATTTTTAATATTGAATGTTTACATGCTTTTCTTTTCGTTAAGAAATCCCATTATGACTTTAAAATGCAACGTTTCACCGATGTATCAGGTTGGATGCGCACTGCTTTGGCACGGCTCTTCCTTTTCAGATAATATTTCTTTACTTTGATTTGACAGCCTACAAAAGTGGGTTTTGGTAACAGCCTAGATTTGGTAGTAAATCTATAAGTATAATTTTGTAGTGGTGTATAATAATATTCAATCATAGATTTTGTATCAAGAATGTAGATTTGATTTGAATAAGTTATCAAGTTATCATACGCATTTCCGAATAGTTTTAATATCTGAGTAAATTTGTGCGTCATTTCCCCTACCGAACGTTGAACTGTTTATCCATTTAATTATTCAATCTATATGTATATTAGTGCTTGTTTTCGTTATGTTTTAGTTATTACAGTGCACTTTATTTTGCAAATGACATTTTTTTTCCGATTTCTGGTCACGATCTCCAGCCAAAACTTCGCAAGTCACACATAATCTGACATTATGGCCGGCGATAAATATGGGCTCATTTGAGATGACGCATTTTTACTCGAATTAATCGGAAATGACGTAGGACGTAATAATAATCATAATAGCAACTTTCTTTTCAATTTAACTATATCAAACCACGAAACATTGTTGAATTCAATAACAAAACACTATGTCAAATAATAAAACTTATTCTGATAAACATCTGAATATTAAATAATAAATAATGAAGTGGTCAAAAATAATAATCATATTTACTATAAATATTTTTTTTGTAATAAATAAAAAATGGACAATAAAAAAAAACCCAATAAAATACAGAAAAATGTTGCAGCTTTAATTTCTATTACTTTCAGATACACGTCTCTCTAGATGTTTGTGCATAGTTTTCACAAATTAAATATGTCCTCCCTATTCTACGATAGTAATGTTATCATAGGTATTGTACAGATGTGTGAAATATACTTAGAACACAACACACAAGTATAATATATAGTACACTATACACTGATTACTGCACACTATAGGAATATGTCTGTATAGAGTAAGTGTAGCCCTGGAACACAAGCCTTGACATAGTCTTTTTACTGTAACGTATCCAGGATCAGACGGAGCAAGTTTTGGAGGTATATTTGTCCGTATTAAAAAAACACACTGTGAAAAATACGATTATGTTTATTCCAGTAAAATTGATCTAATGCTAAATTATTTTCATCATAAATAATCCGGAACGCCTTTGGATTTTGTATTTAGTTTTATAAATTTCATCTTCTTTCTCTCCTGGAGTCTGAGAATTATCTAGAAAATTAGAAGTAATATCTCCACATGTGTGATTTATCAGAGAAGATCTGAAGCTATTACGAAATGCGTCTAATACCTTGACTGTAATTCAAATAAAATCTGCATTCTTTGATACAGAAAAAGATGTTACTGAAGACGCACTTTGTAATGGCTTGACATTGTGAAGATGGGAACTGCTACTTTAACCAGATTTCAGCATTTATACAGATTTTATTGTTTATTCAGTCCTAACTTTTACTACAAAAAAAAAAAGTATTCTGTACTGCCCATGGCCCAGTGACTATAATTAGTTGGTATGTCTACTGTAAACAATTTGTCATCAGGTCTTAACACCACAATAAATCTGCCCAATCAAAGATTCAAAATTTAGTTCCGTTGTACATACATAAACATCTTTTCTGTAACTTTCTTATTGACCTCCATTCCTTTTTTAGAACCATTCTATAAAGTTTCTTTTGTATTTTGTTTTGAAATAATTTTGCAGAACACCTCTAATTATCTAAATAAATAAGAAAGCCTCTGTCATGTCACAGAGTTAGTTTTTCTCACCAAAACAACTACTCTGTTTATCTGATGGAAAAATGGTCTGTCAGCATTTCCAGGCTGATCGTTACAGGGCCATATTTCTTTCACTTTTATAAAATATACTTTTTCCCATCGTTTCTTATATACAAATGAACTATAGTACTATGAGCAAGCTCATAAATTCTTATTAAGTGACATAAAAATCAGATAATTCGAAAGTTTGAGGGAAACTATATCTTCTTAAAAATCTTAACTTAAATATTTCCAATTCTACCAGTTATTTATAAGAACCTTCATACAAATTTTTATTCACTTTGTTAGTCCTGAGGACACTATCTCAGTTTTTCTCTTGAAAGGAACACAAGCCACCATAGTGTGAGTTTTCATTTTTTATCAAACTTCCAGTTTTTAAACTACGTTCCTGTCGGATCTACAAGTTTGATCATCTATATCAAACTTCCAGTTTCTAAACTACGTTCCTGTCGGTTCTACAGTTTGATCATCTATATCAAACTTCCAGTTTTTAAACTACGTTCCTGTCGGATCTACAAGTTTGATCATCCATATCAAACTTCCAGTTTTTAAACTACGTTCCTGTCGGATCTACAAGTTTGATCATCCATATCAAACTTCCAGTTTTTAAACTACGTTCCTGTCGGATCTACAAGTTTGATCATCCATATCAAACTTCCAGTTTTTAAACTACGTTCCTGTCGGATCTACAAGTTTGATCATCCATATCAAACTTCCAGTTTTTTTACTACGTTCCTGTCGGATCTACAGTTTGATCATCTATATCAAACTTCCAGTTTTTAAACTACGTTCCTGTTGGATCTACAGTTTGATCATCTTTATCAAACATCCAGTTTTTAAACTACGTTCCTGTTTCCAGTTTTTAAACTAAGTTCCTGTCGGTTCTACAGTTTGATCATCTATATCAAACTTCCAGTTTTTAAACTACGTTCCTGTCGGAACTACAAGTTTGATCATCCATATCAAACTTCCAGTTTTTAAACTACGTTCCTGTTTCCAGTTTTTAAACTAAGTTCCTGTCGGTTCTACAGTTTGATCATCTATATCAAACTTCCAGTTTTTAAACTACGTTCCTGTCGGAACTACAAGTTTGATCATCCATATCAAACTTCCAGTTTTTAAACTACGTTCCTGTTTCCAGTTTTTAAACTAAGTTCCTGTCGGATCTACAGTTTGATCATCCATATCAAACTTCCAGTTTTTAAACTACGTTCCTGTCGGATCTACAAGTTTGATCATCCATATCAAACTTCCAGTTTTTAAACTACGTTCCTGTCGTATCTACAGTTTGATCATCTATATCAAACTTCCAGTTATTAAACTAAGTTCCTGTCGGATCTACAGTTTGATCATCCATATCAAACTTCCAGTTTTTAAACTACGTTCCTGTCGGATCTACAAGTTTGATCATCCATATCAAACTTCCAGTTTTTAAACTACGTTCCTGTTTCCAGTTTTTAAACTAAGTTCCTGTCGGATCTACAAGTTTGGTCATCCATATCAAACTTCCCGTTTTTAAACTACGTTCCTGTTTCCAGTTTTTAAACTAAGTTCCTGTCGGATCTACAAGTTTGATCATCCATTTCAAACTTCCAGTTTTTAAACTACGTTCCTGTCGGATCTACAGTTTGATCATCCATATCAAACTTCCAGTTTTTAAACTACGTTCCTGTCGGATCTACAAGTTTGATCATCCATATCAAACTTCCAGTTTTTAAACTACGTTCCTGTTTCCATTTTTTAAACTAAGATCCTGTCGGATCTACAGTTTGATCATCTATATCAAACTTCCAGTTTTTAAACTACGTTCCTGTCGGATCTACAAGTTTGATCATCCATATCAAACTTCCAGTTTTTAAACTACGTTCCTGTTTCCATTTTTTAAACTAAGATCCTGTCGGATCTACAGTTTGATCATCTATATCAAACTTCCAGTTTTTAAACTACGTTCCTGTCGGATCTACAAGTTTGATCATCCATATCAAACTTCCAGTTTTTTTACCACGTTCCTGTCGGATCTACAAGTTTGATCATCCATATCAAACTTCCAGTGGGATCCTTTAGACTACGTTCCTGTTGGATCTACAGTTTGATCATCTATATCAAACTTCCAGTTTTTAAACTACGTTCCTGTTGCTCATCTATTTCAAACTTCCAGTTTTTAAACTACGTTCCTGTCGGAACTACAAGTTTGATCATCCATATCAAACTTCCAGTTTTTAAACTACGTTCCTGTCGGATCTACAGTTTGATCATCTATATCAAACTTCCAGTTATTAAACTAAGTTCCTGTCGGATCTACAGTTTGATCATCCATATCAAACTTCCAGTTTTTAAACTACGTTCCTGTCGGATCTACAGATCGTCCATATCAAACTTTCAGTTTTTGATCTACGTTCCTGTATCCAGTTTTTAAACTACGTTCCCGTCTGATCCTTGATACGTTACAGTATGCAACAACACGACTCATTGCAGTGCAGTGCAGTATTTAAAAAATTACACATAAGCCATGGCGAGGAGCCAAAGGAAATGCTGGTGCGTAGATATCGTAACAGATATCGAAAAGGACCGGTAAAAATCTATAAGGATGGTAAATGTCATCAACCACCGATATGGTTTTGCTTATCTCCGAATAGTTAAGGAACTTGTATCTATTACCTGTTTCACAAAAACAGGTAAATTTTTACAAATATTGATTTTGTGTCAAAATCAGACGAGGAGTGTCATGTCACAGAGTTAGTTTTTCTCACCAAAACAACTAATCTGTTTATCTGATGGAAAAATGGTCTGTCAGCATTTCCAGGCTGATCGTTTACAGGGCCATATATCTACAGTAAACTAGAGTCAAACACTATCAATATCTAAATAAATACTGAAATCTTCCATAAAACATAGTCGAACACTATTAAAACCTGTAAAAAAATACTGAAATCTATAGTAAACTAGAGTCAAACACTTTCAATATTCATATAAATACTGAAATCTACCATAAAACATAGTCGAACACTATTAAAACCTTAAAAAAAATAATGAAATCTATAGTAAACTAGAGTCAAACACTTTCAATATTAATACAAATACTCGATAACTATATAAATACTGAAATCTATGGTAAACTAGAGTCAAACACTATAAATATTTATAAAAAAACTGAAATCTTCCATAAAACATAGTCAAACACTATTAAAACCTGTAAAAAATACTGAAATCTACAGTAAACTAGAGTCAAACACTATCGATATCTATATAAATACTGAAATCTATCATAAAACATAGTCGAACACTATTAAAACCTGTAAAAGATACTGAAATCTATAGTAAACTAGAGTCAAACACTATCAATATTTATATAAATACTGAAATCTTCCATAAAACATAGTCGAACACTATTTAAACCTGTAAAAAATACTGAT